TTCACGCTTGACTCAGGTGCTTCCCGCTGTTTCTTTCGCGACAGTACCACACTCACTCCACTCCCTGCACCTGTTCCAGTCAGACTGGCTGACCCCTCAGGGAGCCCAGTTCTTGCACGTTCCACCATTGTTCTCCCGTGTCCGGCGGTTCCGTCTGGCTCACTGTCAAGTTTTCACCTCCCCTCGTTCTCTACAAACTTGGTGAGTACCACTCCCCTCAGCGTGTGGCGATCTACACGTGTACACGGAGAAGCCGTCACCTAGCCACGTTCACCCGTCGGCCTGGGTCGAGCCTGCTCAGGTAGCTGCTTCCGGTCACGTGTCCGCGTCAGGTCAGGTAGCCGCCCCTGTTCGTGTCGCCTCCTGTCGCACCAGGCTCTCCTTAGGCACCACTGACTTGGTCACCCCTCCCTACCACGCCTTCGTGGCATGCACTCTCGCCTCCTTGTTTCTGGTCTTCCCAGGTCTCTGCCTCCCCTCCCGCCCTCGCCTGCCCCGCCCTGCCTTCCTTGCGTCGAGGGGCGGCAGCGCGCCGCTCCTCACTCCTCCTCGTTTCCCCCGACGACTGCTCCCCTGCAGACTCTCCACATGGACGTGTGGGGCCCAGCCCGCGTAAGTAGACAAGGCCGCGAGCGCTTCTTTCTGCTGGTTGTTGATGACTACACGCGTTACACCACGGTCTTCCCCTTGCGCAACAAGGGTGAGGTCCCTGATGTCTTGATCCCTTGGATCCACGCAGTCCGTCTCCAGCTCCGTGAGCGGTTCTGTGAGGACCTTTCTGTCCTGCGTCTGCACTCTGACAGAGGTGGTGAGTTCTCCTCCGACCTCTTACGGGACTTTTGTCGCGGGGAGGGCATTCTCCAGTCGTTCTCGCTTCCGGCCTCCCCTCAGCAAAATGGGGTTGCTGAGCGCCACATTGGCTTAGTCATGGAGGTGGCTCGTACCTCCATGATCCATGCGGCTGCTCCCCATTTTTTGTGGCCGTTTGCGGTCCGGTACGTTGCGCATCAGCTCAACCTCTGGCCCCGTGTCTCCTTGCCGGAGACCTCGCCTACACTGCGTTGGACGGGGAAGGTTGGCGATGCGTCGGTGTTCCAAGTCTGAGGCTCTCGTGCCTTTGTCCGCGATACTTCCGCGGACAAGCTCTCCTCCCACGCTATTCCCTGCGTCTTCCTTGGCTTTCCCCCTGACGCGCCTAGCTGGCAGTTTTACCACCCCACCTCGCGCTGTGTCCTGCCCTCTCAGGACGTCACGTTTGACGAGTCGGTTCCCTTTTACCGTCTCTTCCCCTACCGCACTGCCCCTCTCCCCCCCCCCCCCCGCTGCTCTTCCTTGCTCCAGGTCCCCCTCCGGTAGACCCCCTCCCCCCTCAGGGTCCTGCTCCCTCAGGTGTGTCTCAGGTAGACCCACTCCCCGAGACTGTGCCTGTCAAGGTCGATGTAGACTCTGGTGCTGCTAGAGGTGCTGCGTCCGGGGATGTTGCATCTGGGGGTGCTGAGCGTGCGAGTGCGGAGCCTGGGGGTGCTTAGTTTGAGGGTGCGGAGTCTGGTGGTGCTGAGCCTAGGGGTGCAGGGCTTGGGGGTACTGAGCCTGAGAGTGCGGAGCCTGGGGGTGCTGAATCTGAGGGTGCGGAGTCTAAGGTTGCTGAGCCTCGGGGTACTGCGTCTGCTGGAGGTCCTGCGGGTGCCTCGCCACGACTGTCTCCCCGTCAGGAGCCTCTCTCACCGCAGCAGCTGCGCGAGTGGTTTGCTCAGCGCATACGCCTTATTAGTGGCGCTGCAGGAGATGGAGGCTCTACCGCTGGAGGCACTGGAGCTGGAGGTGCTGGAGTTACTGCTGGAGCTGGAGGTACCGGAGGTGCTGCAGCTGCTGGTCCTGGAGGTGCTTGTACTAGAGGTACTGGAGCTGCCGGAGCTGGTGGTGTTGGAGACTCTGAAGCTGGAGACCCTGGAGCAGGAGGCACTGGCGCTGGAGGTGCTGGAGTTGGAGGAGCTGGTGCTGGAGACCCTGGCGCTGGAGGTGTTGGAGCTGGAGGCACTGGCGCTGGAGGCGCTAGAGCTGGAGCTCTGGAGCTGGAGGCACTAGCGCTGGAGGCGCTGGAGCTGGAGGAGCTGGAGCTGGAGACCCTGGAGCTGGAGGCACTGGCGCTAGAGGCGCTGGAGCTGGAGGCACTGGAGTTGGAGACCCTGGAGCTGGAGGTGCTGGCCCTGGAGGCACTGGAGCTCGAGGAGCTGGAATTGGAGACCCTGGTGCTAGAGGCAATGGCGCTGGAGGCGCTGGAGCTGGAGGCACTGGAGCTGGAGACACTGGAGCTGGAGGTGCTTGCGCTGGGGGTGCTGGAGCTAGCGGTCCTGGTGCTAGAGGCACTGTGCAGCGGCGCCCGTTTTTCGTTCCGCCGCCGCCGTTGTCTCTGCCGCCACCTGACTCGGTCCTTCGCCAGTTTCTTAGTCTCCCATCTTCTATTGGCCTTCCTCCTAGCTTAGTGAGTCCACCGACTCACCAGTCGCAGCCACAGTTACAGCCAGACTCCCCACTGCCTGCTCCTTCTCCTTACGCTGATTAGACATACTCTCTTACAGAGTCTCGTGAGCCAGAGTCTCGTCTTGCCTCGCCTGTTCGCGTTGTTCGCACTGGTCGCCGTGTTCCTCGTCCGCGTCCTCCTCTTGTCCCCGGCACTCACATTATGGCACTTCGTCCTTCCTCTGTTCCACTGCGAGTTCCCCTGCCACCTCCTCCTGCGTCCTCTCTTCCTGCCGTTCCTTACCCTGAGTTTGACTTAGCTCGTGCTGCCAGTCCTACTGTCCCTCTTCTTCTAGCCACTGTTGTCACTGACCCTTCGTTTGAGTCCACTGCTGCGTCTGCCCTAGTTACTGAGCTTGTTGACTTTGCTGCCGCCTGTCGTCTCGACTACGCCACTAGTCTTGTTGCTGAGTCTGAGTCTGACTGTCCTCTGTCCGTCAGGGGTGAGTGTGCTCTTGGCACGGACGTTCTTGAGGACAGACAGGAAGAGTTTGAGTGCTTTGCCGCTGCTGTACCTCATCTCGTGGCCATGCTGCTTGCACCTGAGGGAGACCCGGATGCACCAGACATCCCGACCCCGCGCTCTTACGCAGAGGCGATTATGGGTCCCTACTCCTCTCAGTGGCAGACAACCATGGAAGCAGAGATGACATCATGGAAGTCCATAGGCACCTACGTCGACGTAGTTCCCCCTCCTGGGGCAAACATAGTCGATGGCATGTGGATTTTTAGGGTGAAGCGGCCGCCTGGTTCTCCGCCTGTCTTCAAGGCTCGTTACGTTGCACGAGGCTTCAGTCAGCGACAGGGAGTTGACTTCTTCCAGACCTTCTCCCCTACCCCGAAGATGACCACTCTTTGAGTTCTGCTGCACGTCGCCGCTCAGCGTGACTACGAGCTGCACTCTCTTGATTTCAGCACAGCCTTCTTAAAAGGCAGTCTGCACGAGGAGATATGGCTGCGCCGCCCACCTGGCTTCACTGGGTCGTTTCCTGCAGGTACCCAGTAGAGCCTCCGGCGGCCAGTCTACGGTCTCCGCCAGGCGCCTCGCGAGTGGCACGACATACAGGAGTCGGTGGAGTATCATCGATGAGAGCTAGTGCCGTCGAAGAACCCACGATTGGTGTCGTAGTTTCTGCTATCGATGTTGCTGTTGCTGATGTTGTTTCTGCGGCCGATGTTATCTCTGCTTGCCAAATTGTCGCTAACGCTCGTGTTCTTTCTGCTTCAGGTATGGTGTGTGAGTACCAGAATCCTCCAGGACTGAAGTCGGGGTCGAGATCTGGTTGATGTGTCCAAGAGGCGAAGTTGACGATGGCGTCGGTGTCGGCGGTGCCTTGGTCCAGAACGAAGTCAAGAACGAAGACGTTATTCTTCAAGACGTTATTCTTCAAGACGTTATTCTTCAAGCTGATGGAGCCTTTTTGAGGTTCGGACGGAGCAAAGGTAGGTTGCTGCTGGTTTCCGCGCGCATAGGATGAACCGTCAAGGCTCATTGGGGTTACTCTGTTGTTGTTGTCGCTGTTGTTTGATTGCTCAGGAGCTGCTTGTTGGTGTTGCTCGTAGATGGACATGAAGGAGAAAAAAATCTCCATCATGCTTGGGTCGAAGCCTGCTGCTTGATTCCCGGGAGTTTCGGTAGACTCCGTAGCTGGTCTTGTTACCGTGCCTTCCTCTGTCTGTAGGCCAGAGGCTGGAGGTGGAGTAGGAGTAGTGCTGGGAGATCCGTTGGAGGAGCTCATCTCTTTCTGAGTTGCCATGCCTTGTATTGTTGTAGGAGTTCGGGTAATCGATCTTGCCTTGGAGGCTCTCATACCATGTTGGGCTGAGAAAAGCCCTTAGGACCTTTTTCAAGGCTAAGACCTTTTGAGTAGGAATGTTGTAATTGCGGAAGCGTAATAATAAAGTTACTTGAACCACCTTGCACTAGTATGTGAGAGCAAGATAGATTGATTAAAGCAAAAAGATACAAGAATATATATGACTACAAGGAATACGAAGAGATGCGACCTTAACTGTTTTGCTGTTGCGGTTCGATACAGTGACGACTCGGGTAACTGCTCAGTATCAAGTCAGTTATTTGTCCTTGCTGTCGTGCTGTATTTTTCGTCGAGTCAAAGGTCAGCGACCTTTGACCTTCGCGTAACCTCTGGCTGTTACGCTTGTTGACTCGCGTGTTGTTTCGCTGTAGTCTGCTCTGTTTCGTGTTATTGCTTCGATACTTCAGAAGCGTTAAGTTACTTGTTTCCAACAAAAACCACACGACCTCATCGCTCCGCCACTTGCGCCAGCCATCAAACTCACGCTTCCCCACACAAGCACTTTCCGCTGGACACTATTGGAGGCGTTTTTCTCAGGATTATTATACAGTTTGTCACGATTTCTTTCTAACTATGATGTTTGGTCACTACCACAGGCTGTCACAAAAGAGAGGAAATATACATCGCATTTCCCCACAATAAATTGAGGTGGCAGCGTCAAATTTATTGCTGAGGTGGTAGCCTGAGATCCCAGGTCTCGATGATTTCATCCACGTCAAATTGATTCACCACCTGCCATTGCCATGCAAGCATTCCAACAAAAAAGGGAATGCAAATCGTATGAGAAATAACTCCCAAATCTAAGCAACTGGAAAAATGCACGCATTGTCACGGAAACATGGAGCGCGGATTGACAACACATGTAAGAAGCGTGACAACACATTGACCGAGGGGAGATGGAGGGAGGTTCTCAGGCAATGAAAGGAAGGGATACATTATCGCAGAGATGAAGCGAAAGAGCAGGCATGAGAGGGAGGAAGAAACGTTACCGGGACAAGAGGGTCGCCGAGCGATAGAACGGCTTGCTCCAGAAGCGACTTGGGCTTGTACTGCCCGTGGTAGGGAGGGGAGGACGAGGGGCAGAAGTGGGGAGGACGAGGGGCATGGGTGGGGAGCGGCAAGTGGTTTAGGCCTGTGTTGCTCGTGAAAGAAAGGAGGAGAGGCACGAGAGGGTCCCCCAGTGAAAGAAAGGAGGAGAGGCACGAGAGGGTCCCACAGTGAAAGAAAGGAGGAGAGGCACGAGAGGGTCCCCCAGTGAAAGAAAGGAGGAGAGGCACGAGAGGGTCCCCCAGTGAAAGAAAGGAGGAGAGGCACGAGAGGGTCCCCCAGTGAAAGAAAGGAGGAGAGGCACGAGAGGGTCCCACAGTGAAAGAAAGGAGGAGAGGCACGAGAGGGTCCCCCAGTGAAAGAAAGGAGGAGAGGCACGAGAGGGTCCCCCAGTGAAAGAAAGGAGGAGAGGCACGAGAGGGTCCCCCAGTGAAAGAAAGGAGGAGAGGCACGAGAGGGTCCCCCAGTGAAAGAAAGGAGGAGAGGCACGAGAGGGTCCCCCAGTGAAAGAAAGGAGGAGAGGCACGAGAGGGTCCCCCAGTGAAAGAAAGGAGGAGAGGCACGAGAGGGTCCCACAGTGAAAGAAAGGAGGAGAGGCACGAGAGGGTCCCCCAGTGAAAGAAAGGAGGAGAGGCACGAGAGGGTCCCCCAGTGAAAGAAAGGAGGAGAGGCACGAGAGGGTCCCACAGTGAAAGAAAGGAGGAGAGGCACGAGAGGGTCCCCCAGTGAAAGAAAGGAGGAGAGGCACGAGAGGGTCCCCCAGTGAAAGAAAGGAGGAGAGGCACGAGAGGGTCCCACAGTGAAAGAAAGGAGGAGAGGCACGAGAGGGTCCCCCAGTGAAAGAAAGGAGGAGAGGCACGAGAGGGTCCCCCAGTGAAAGAAAGGAGGAGAGGCACGAGAGGGTCCCACAGTGAAAGAAAGGAGGAGAGGCACGAGAGGGTCCCACAGTGAAAGAAAGGAGGAGAGGCACGAGAGGGTCCCCCAGTGAAAGAAAGGAGGAGAGGCACGAGAGGGTCCCCCAGTGAAAGAAAGGAGGAGAGGCACGAGAGGGTCCCCCAGTGAAAGAAAGGAGGAGAGGCACGAGAGGGTCCCCCAGTGAAAGAAAGGAGGAGAGGCACGAGAGGGTCCCCCAGTGAAAGAAAGGAGGAGAGGCACGAGAGGGTCCCCCAGTGAAAGAAAGGAGGAGAGGCACGAGAGGGTCCCACAGTGAAAGAAAGGAGGAGAGGCACGAGAGGGTCCCCCAGTGAAAGAAAGGAGGAGAGGCACGAGAGGGTCCCCCAGTGAAAGAAAGGAGGAGAGGCACGAGAGGGTCCCACAGTGAAAGAAAGGAGGAGAGGCACGAGAGGGTCCCCCAGTGAAAGAAAGGAGGAGAGGCACGAGAGGGTCCCCCAGTGAAAGAAAGGAGGAGAGGCACGAGAGGGTCCCACAGTGAAAGAAAGGAGGAGAGGCACGAGAGGGTCCCCCAGTGAAAGAAAGGAGGAGAGGCACGAGAGGGTCCCCCAGTGAAAGAAAGGAGGAGAGGCACGAGAGGGTCCCACAGTGAAAGAAAGGAGGAGAGGCACGAGAGGGTCCCCCAGTGAAAGAAAGGAGGAGAGGCACGAGAGGGTCCCCCAGTGAAAGAAAGGAGGAGAGGCACGAGAGGGTCCCACAGTGAAAGAAAGGAGGAGAGGCACGAGAGGGTCCCCCAGTGAAAGAAAGGAGGAGAGGCACGAGAGGGTCCCCCAGTGAAAGAAAGGAGGAGAGGCACGAGAGGGTCCCACAGTGAAAGAAAGGAGGAGAGGCACGAGAGGGTCCCCCAGTGAAAGAAAGGAGGAGAGGCACGAGAGGGTCCCCCAGTGAAAGAAAGGAGGAGAGGCACGAGAGGGTCCCACAGTGAAAGAAAGGAGGAGAGGCACGAGAGGGTCCCCCAGTGAAAGAAAGGAGGAGAGGCACGAGAGGGTCCCCCAGTGAAAGAAAGGAGGAGAGGCACGAGAGGGTCCCACAGTGAAAGAAAGGAGGAGAGGCACGAGAGGGTCCCACAGTGAAAGAACTGAGGCAATTTTGGCTTGTACTGATTGTGGCAATTTGGGCTTGTACTGATTGTGGCAATTTGGGCTTGTACTGATTGTGGCAATTTGGGCTTGTACTGATTGTGGAAGGAAGAGGAATAAGAGGGCCGTGGGAAGGGAGTGGCAAGTGGCTCAGTATATTATCACTCATTACAGGAGGGAGGAGAAGTAAGAAAGAAAAGATGGATAGGCAGGCAAAAGGAGTTGGAAGGCAACAAAGGAAGTGGGCAAGCAAACGAACGACCAGTCCTACTCTCTACCTGTTCTGCAGACCTTCACGAAGAGTTGTATGATATATATATATATATATATATTAATGATTGTTTGTATGAAATTATGTTTTTTGTTACTGTCGTACATTGAGTTTCTCCCTGTAGAAGTACTCATCCACGTCAGCCTGCACCCCCATTCGCTCAAAGAAGGCTCGGATGATGGAGGAGGAGTAGCGCTGGAGGGGGGAGGAGAGGAAAAGGGAGGGGAGGAGTCAAAGGAAGAGGGGGGGTTGGAAGAATGAGTCGGACTGGGAAGGGAGTTTTGCCCATACATACATCAGCCTGCACCACCCCCATTCGTAGCGAGGTTGTTTTTGAGACGTCTCAAAAACAACCTCGCTACACGGGGCTACATCATCCTGCACCACCCCCATTCGCTCAAAGAAGGTCCGGGTGATGGAGGAGGAGCAGCGCTGGGGGGAAGGAGAGAGGGAAGGGAAGAACGATTAGGTAGAAGGGATTTGAATTGGAATGGATGGAAGCTGCAGATGCCATACTTCAAATGACAGATGAGAAATAGTTCTGGTAGGGGCGGAATTAAAAGAAGGGTCTTGAAAAATTTCCCCTGTAACACCACCCCACGCACCTGACATAGTCACACCACCCCACGCACATGATATAGTCACACCACCCCATGACTCACCTGAGCATATTTACTCTCTGCAAGCAACAGCACTGCTCCATCCAGATTGGCCGGCCCCTGAGAGTGAGTGAGGGAGCGAGTGTCGGAATGAGTGAGAAAGTGAGTGAGGGCGAATCTGGTGATAGTGAAGGAGAGGAAGGGAGCATGATCGAGGGGAAAAATACTCATCGTATTCCCTCCCTCAAATTTCACTGTTAACTCCTTCAATGAAAATTACTTTTTTTTTTACAAAAGACAGGCCACAAGGGGACAGACACAAGGAACAAGACGCAACCGCGGTGCTTATCTACTCCTCCTACCCCAACCTCTTTTGAGGCGACTCAAATGTCAAGGGGACAGACACAAGGAACGAGACGCAACCGCGGTGCTTATCTACTCCTCCTACCCCAACCTCTTTTGAGGCAACTCAAATGTCAAGGGGACAGACACAAGGAACGAGACGCAACCGCGGTGCGTATCTACTCCTCCTACCCCAACCTCTTTTGAGGCGACTCAAATGTCAAGGGGACAGACACAAGGAACAAGACGCAACCGCGGTGCTTATCTACTCGTTCCCTCAACCTCTCCTGCCCCTTCTCTCCTGCTTCGCCTGCTGCTTCCCCCCACCTTTGCTGCCCCATATTTTCTGAACCCGGGAAACTACCTAGTTGATATTTCAGCCAGAAGGAGGAGTGATAAGTGAGTGCGCAACTCACCTGGACATCAGTGGGGTGATAAGCGACTGTACAGCTCAGCTCACCTGCACCTGGGGGGGAGCGATAAGCGAGTGCACAGCTCACCTGCACCTTCACTTGCATGCTGCCTCGGCGATCCTTGTCCCACTCTGCCCCACCACCGCCTGCTGCTGCCACCCAGTCCACAGTGTAGGCCTGTGTGGCGGACAGTGAATGCGAAGCAGAGAGGGGATGAGGACAGCAAAAGCATAGAGAGAGTGGTGCGAGTCACATGACTCACACACCACCGCCTGCTGCTGCCACCCACTCGACAGTGTAGGAAGGAACCCCACATCCAGCAGGCAGTGAAGAACCTCTTCCACCCCAGCCAGCAGCCCTGCCTGCCGCCTGCACCTATTTTCTGCACATATCCTCCCCCCAGCCCGCTCACCATCAACCCTAACCCCTGACCCCTTTCACCCACCCACCCGCAGGAAGCCCACATCCAGCAGACGTTGCAGAATCTCCTCCACCCCAGCCACCAGCCACCAGCCACCAGCCACCAGCCACCAGCCACCAGCCACGTGCAACGAGCCACGAGCCCAGCACCACCTACCACCCACCAGATGCCACAGCCCTCTCACCCACCCACCTGCACTGCAGGAACCCCACGTCCAGCAGTCGCTGCAGGATCTCCTCCACCCCAGCCACCAGCCCTCCCCACTCATTGTCTCCTCTCATGACCCTAGAGCACTCACCTCCCACCATCAACCCACCAACCCCTGACCCCTTCCACCCACCCACCTGCAGAAACCCCACATCCAGCAGGCGTTGCAAGATCTCTTCCACCCCAGCCACCAGCCCTGCTGGCCGCACCTCCCCTTCCCACCCGTTCCTCTGTTCACACGGGCCCCAAACGACCATCTGCAACCAACAACGCCAGACATCTGGCTGTGTTTCAACCATCCACCCACCTGCAGGAACCCCACGTTCAGCAGACGTTGCAGAATCTCCTCCACCCCAGCCACCAGCCCTGCTGGCCGCACCTCCCCCACTCCAGCTGCTGCTAGTGGTGGTGGTGGTGGGAGGGATTGCTTTGACAGCAGCGACGGCGGATCCAGCCAATCCTGGTCGTCCACCTGTTCGGCTGATGATGCTGGCGGCGGTGCTGACGTGGCGATGCGGGCGAATGGTAGGGAGGTGGAGGGAGAGAGAGGGGAGAAGGCGGAGGAGGAGGTGGAGGAGGATGGGGAGGGGGAAGCGGCGGAGGAAGAGGAGGAGAGGGAGGGTGGGGGGAGGGCAAGAGCGATAACAACTGCTTCTGGTGCCACTCGATCGAGCAGCTTCCTCCCCAGGCGGGCACTGATCTCCTGCGAGAGACAAATGGGGGACAGGCGGGAGAGGAGCCTTAAGAGGGGCAGCGGTGGTGATGATAGACAATGATTATTGACGGCTGAAACAGGAGGAAGTGCTTTTGGTGCCAATTGGTATAGCAGTTTCCTCCCCAGGCGGGCACTGATCTCCTGCGAGAAACATAGGGGCGAAGTGGTAGAAAAAGGCATAAGAAAGTGCAAATCACCAGCAAGGGCGGCAGGCCGAACAGAAACAAGTGCTTCTTGTGCCTCTAGTTCAATTCAATCCAACAGCTGACATCCGTGGATGGAACATGGGTCTTTGTGTTTATGTGCTTGAAAAAGAGATGAAGAGAGTGTGAGGTGACTCTTGTGTCGACTCAAAAGTCACGGTGTCATGATGGCACATGGAACATGGACCATTGTTCATGTGCTTGAAACAGAGACGAAGAGAGGTTGAGGAAATGTGGCTGACGGAAATCAGCTCTTCACAGGTGGCCGCTTTACTACAGGTAGGTAGGGTGAGGTGCGGTGAGGTGAAGTGGGGCGAGGTGGAGTGTGGTGGGGTGAGGTGGGACACTCACCTGCCTGACTCGCTGCGTGGGGAAGAGGCGTGCGATCAGCTTCCACTGGCGAGGCAGAGACGAATGGGGGGGAGGAGGGGAGGGGAGGGGGGAAGAAGGCAGGGAAGGGGGAAAGGAGGGAGGAGAGGGGGGGGCAAGAGAGAGGAAGTGTGGGGAACAGGCTGGCAATGAACTTCCGCTGGAGGGGCAGAGAAGAATGGTGGGGGGAGGAGGCATGGAGGAGGGACGACAAGGAGAGAGTAAGGGTGGAGGTAGTGGGGAGAGGGGAGGAGGTGGGGGAAAGAAAGGGAGACGAGGCGGCGAGGCGTACAAGTGAGTGAGAGGAGGGAAAACAGGCACGTGACGTGGGGCAGAACGGGCAGCGAGTGAGAGGGCCTTCCTGCCAAGTCTGGACATGGACAGCCCCACTTCGCAGCTGGAAGTATTGTGGTCTGCGAAGTCTGGAAGTCTGGAAGTCTGGACATGGACAGCCCCAAAAGTGCAGATTTTTTGGTCCAGCATGGCAGCTTCCTTGTTTACCCCACGTGCCACCCGATACTGCTGTGTGAGATCGTTAGGAAAATGCGAAACCTAGCGCCCAATCAGACTGTCATGCACGACTCAATTTACAGTCAGCGATCGCAACCCTAATCCCTAAACCTCACCTGGATGTATGACTGGAAGTTGAAGTAAGGCACATCGTTCACTGTGAAACTCTGCCTGCTCGTGCATGGGAGGAGGGGAGGGGTAGGGGAGGCGAGGGTACGAGAAGGAAAGGGAGAAGAGAAGAGGGGAGGGGGGAGGGAATGGGAGGGCAGTGCGTGGGTGGATGGGAGTGGGGGGTTGACGGGGAGGGGAGGGAATCACATGTGTGTGAGTGTGAGGGTATCGATGTGTGAATGTGGAGACGAGACGATTAAGCACACAGGCTTTCGAGTCAGTCACATGACTCTCTCACATGACTCCCTCACATGACTCCCTCACATGACTCCCTCACATGACTCCCTCACATGACTCCCTCACATCACCCACATCTCTTGGAACAAACTATCTCTGTCTCTTCTCCCCAGCCCCTCCACTCCACCCCTACCTCGGCCTCCCCTGTTCTAACTCCAAGGTGCCTCAGCACCCTGCTCTTGCCCGGATTGGAGAATCCTCAAAAGCACATCGCTCTCTGCCAACTCTCTCCTGCTTCCTGCCAGCCCGCCCACGGGACCCGCCCCCAAAGTTCCCCGCCCATGGCCCCCCGCCCCCAGGGTCCCCCCGCCACAGCACCCCCACCCCCCCAGGATCCCCCGCCCCAGCCCCCCTCCCCCAGGATCCCCCGCCCACACCCCTCCGCCCACGCCCCTCTGCCTCACCCCAGTGACGCCAGCCCTCCAAAGTTAGCCTTCTTGAGCGGCTGGAACTCCTGCTGCCGCAGCTTGAAGAACTGGCAATGTGGAGGAGGGGGGATCACGGGAGGAGGGGAGAGCGGGAGGGGGGGAGGAGGAAGAGTGGGGAGGAAAAGCACCAAACACTCCAAGATTGGCCTTCTTAAGCGGCTGGAACTCCTGCTGGCACAGCTTGAAGAACTGGCGATGTGGGGGGTTAGGGAGGGTGGGAAGAGCGGAAGAAGGGGAAGCGGGGGAAGGGGAGGGTAGAGAGCTTCATTTGAACCGCACTAAACACCTACTTGCACCTCTTTCTGGTAGTCCGCACTGGTCTTCTTCACCCCAAGCTCCTTAATCATTACAGTTTCCCAGTTTCCCCTGTTGCACTCATTAGAGCCCTCAATCCATAAGTGCATCACACGCCTCTTAAAGAGACTATCAGACTGAGCTCAACGCACCTCTCTCCCGTACCGGTCTTCATCCCCAGCTGCTCGTTATCGCTGCTGCATTCATTAATGAGACCACTCACCCCACTGAACCACACTGAACGCCTGCACGCTCCTCTTTCTTGTAGTCGGCACCGGTTTTCATCCCCAGCTCGTTTATCACCTCCTCTGTTACATTCATTAAAATCATTCGCCCCTTTGAACTGCACTCAACACCTGCACGCACCTCTTTTTTGTAGTCAGCACCGGTCTTCATCCCCAGCTCATTAATCACCTCCTCTGCCACATTCATTAGCAGCACCTGACAGCCGCAGCAGGGAAGCAGGTGGGGGGGACGGGGAAGAGAGCTTGTCTACATGGGTTCACTCCTCACCTCACCTCTCTCTGATACGCTGCACCAGTCTGTGCTCCAAGCTCCCTCTGCACTTCCTCTGCCGCGTTCAGAAGCAGGACCTGCCAGGAAGGTAATACAGGCAGCGAGTGGGCAGCGAGTGAGCAGCGAGTGGGCAGCGAGTGAGCAGCGAGTGGGCAGCGAGTGAGCAGCGAGTGGGCAGCGAGCAGAAGAGAAGGCGCCAATCCGTGTTCCCAGCTCCCTCTGCACTTCCTCTGCTGCGTTCAAAAGAAGGACCTGGTAGAAGAAACATCCCACACACAGGCAGTGAGCGAGCAGCGAGCAGAAGAACAGGCGGCTGTCTGTGCTCCCGGGTCCCTCTGCACTTCCTCTGCCGCGTTCAGAAGCAGGACCTGGTAGTAGAAAGGTCCCACACAAGCAGGCAGTAAGTGGGCAGCGATATGGTAGCACTGGGCAGATAGTGAGGAGAAGAGCAGAGAGAGTAGGGAGCAGTGAGCAGAAGAGCAGAGAGAGTAGGGAGCAGTGAGCAGAAGAGAAGAGAGAGGGCAGAGAAGAGGGAGAGGAACGAAGAGAGGGCAGAACAGGCCAGTGCACGGGGCGAATTTTGCAACATTTTGAGTCATCTCAAGGAGCAGCCAGGAAACACTACCAAGGAGCACATCATTTCTCCTTCACTCAAACCCTCAGTCACTCACTCACACTCACTCACTCCCTCTCACACTCACTCACTCACCCCAAAGTTATCCTTCATCTGTCGAATCTCCACACTCTTGCCGTCACCCTGGGATGAGCAAAGGGCGAACACGAACATGTTCGTGTTCGCCCCTTCTCGAACACCGTTCGGCGAACAGTTTAGGCAAAAACAGGAGTTCGCCGTTCGCCTGTGGAGGCGTGTTCGGGCGAACCTCGAACACGTTCGTGTTCGACACGGGGCGTTTTGCAGCAGCGCCACGAACACGAACGTGTTCGGGCGAACCTCGAACACGTTCGAGGCGAACCGAACAGGTGTTCGTTTCTTTGCTCATCCCTACCGTCACCCCACTGCCAAGCCTCCACCCCCCATGCGGCGCCACCCACCCACCACCCTCCACCGCTCTGCACCCCCTTCGACCCCCACCGCTCACTCACTCACCCCAAAGTTGTCCTTCATCTGTCGAATCTCCACACTCTTGCCGTCACCCCACTGCCGAGCCTCCACCCCCCATGCAGCACCACCCACCCCCGCCACCGACCCTCCAACCAGCCCCGACGCAGCAAGAGAGGCTCCCAGCATCACACCCCTCCTCCCTACTTGCAACTCCAGTGGGGAACCTTTCTGGCATTCCTGAGACACTACTGCTGCTGCTGACAATAATGGTGGTGATGCTGGTGAAGGGAACGTTTTTGTAGCAAATACAGTCTCCCCATGGTTCCTGTCTGAAGAGTCAGCTTCTCTGCTGCTCCAGCTACCACAACCCTCGCCCTCTCTGCTCTGGCTGCAAACAAAACCTCTGCGGTGCTGCTGCACATAGGTGTATATCTCATGTGTGTATGCCCTCCTTCTTAAGACGAGGCACGGGGTTGCAAGGGGACGAGGAGGGGTGGAGGAGTGGGAGGCAGCGATGGTATGGGGCCATGTTGAAGGGTGCGCAAGGGCGAGCATCATGCTTCCTTGCTTAGCTCCTGCTTAGCTCCTGCTTAGCTCCTGCTTAGCTCCTGCTTAGCTCCTGCTTAGCTCCTGCTTAGCTCCTGCTTAGCTCCTGCTTAGCTCCTGCATAGCTCCTGCTTAGCTCCTGCTTGGCTTCTGCTTAGCTCCTGCTTAGCTCCTGCTTAGCTCCTGCTTGGCTTCTGCTTGGCTTCTGCTTGGCCTTTGCTTCGTTTCGTGCGGCGCGCGCTGTGGGGATTAACGAGGCTCCCTGTTGGCCAATCACGTGGCGAAGCGCCTGGTCCAATCAGCGGCGATGCGGTCGTGTGAGGGGCGGTCAAACACGAAGCGGTGTGCGATGCACCCCACCAGCGCTTCCTCTAAGAGAGGCAGAACGATTGAGAGTGGAAGGGGGCTCGTGGGGGGAGAGGGGGAAGGAGGAGGTGAAGGACGGAGGTTGGACACACACACCAAGCAATGCGTTAGTCATCCATCAAGAGAGTCCAAGAGGAAGGCAGTCAAAGAAGCACAAAGCGATTGTATTTGCATGCATCGCACCCCACCCCACCAACTCACCTGGCACGGGGAATCTCAGCAGGTGGATGACAGCTTGCAGCACACAGGCGATTGTCATGGCAGGGCTCCAGCCATCGTCCAAGGGACCCTAACACATAACACGCCAAAGACTCATATAATGGCCCATGTACCATACCACACCAACTCACCTGGCACGGGGAATCTCAGCAGGTGGATGACAGCTTGCAGCACGCGAGCAGAATGGTCATGGCAGGGCTCCGGGCATCCATCGGGGTGACAAACAGCAACGAGCACACCACACCATACCATGGCCTCACCTGGCACGGGGAACCTCAGCAAATGAATGATGGCTTGCAGCACGCGCGCAATGGTCATGGCAGGGCTCCAGCCATCGTCCAGCAGATGCAGCCGAATGCGCCCACTGGCACTGCACACGTTGCAGTGATAGATGCGCGTGCGGAAGCACACCTGGGTAGGGTGGATGAATGGGGGAAGGGCGGCACGGGGAGAGGAGGAGAAGTGGGGGGAACGGCGGCTTGCCGGAAGGGAATGGCCTGTGGACAGCCGAATGCGCCCACTGGCGCTGCACAAGTTGCAGTGATAGACGCGCGTGCGGAAACACACCTGATTGGATGGGGGGGGCGGAAAGAGGGAGGGGGGGGGGGGGGGGGGGGAGAAGAGGGAAAAGGGGGGGAGGAGGGGGGGCGAAACGGGGGGTTGCAGGCAGGAATGGTGCATGGACAGCCGAATGCGTCTACTAGCGCTGCACGCGTTGCAGTGGTCGACGCGCGTGCGGAAACACACCTGGGCAGATGCAAGGGGGCAGGGTGGGGTGTGGGAGGGTTGGAACTGGAAGCGCATGGGCACACAAGTAGGCATGGAAGAGATGCGGCCACTGGCGCTGCACACGTTGCGGTGGTAGACGCGTGCGGAAACACACCTGGGTGATGAGAGGGGAGGGGGAGGAGAGGAGGAGGTGGGAATGTGGGGGGAATGGCCTGCTGCAGCTAGACACGTTGCTGCAGTGGTGCACACGTGGCACTGCAGTGGTGCACACGTGGCACTGCAGTGGTGCACATGTGGCACTGCAGTGGTGCACACGTGGCACTGCAGTGGTGCACACGTGGCACTGCAGTGGTGCACACGTGGCACTGCAGTGGTGCACACGTGGCACTGCAGTGGTGCACACGTGGCACCGCAGTGGTGCGCATGCGCGGTGGCTAGCTTGGCAGTGGGCGTTGCTTCATGTCATGGCTGGAGCATTGCCTCATTTCAAGGGAGCTTGATTTTTAGGTGTCTCAAAAATGAGCGCTGCTTCATTCATGTCATGGCTGGCTGGCTGCAGCACTGCCCCCTTTAAAAGAAGTGGGCGTTACTCAACAGCACCTGCTTCACTTCACTCACAATGCCGCAAGAGTCAAGGAAGGGGTTTGTGCCTACCTGTGGCGGCCTGAAGGGGTAGTCTTGGGGAAAGGCAATGTCGAGGAAAAACACTCCCCCACGATAAGGCGAATCTGCTGTATGAAAGGGATAGGCAGGGGAGAAGGGAGCGAGGGAAGGGTGTGGTGAGAAGTGAAAGGGTTCCGTTCCAAGGGGCAGTTTTTGGGGGAAAGCAAATACGTGGGGGAAAGCAAATCCGTGTGGGAAAGCAAATCCGTGTGGGAAAGCAAATCCGTGTGGGAAAGCAAATCCGTGGGTGGGGGGAGAAGCAATCTGGGAGTGAAGGCAACGTGTGGGAGAAGGGAATATGGAGGGGAAGACTCCTCCGGAAGGGCAATGAGTACAAAAAACCCATGCTTACATAAAGTCAGCCTAAAGGGTCGTTTCTAGCATACGTTCCCGTTATAAGAACATTCCGTGCAGCCCTTCGATAGAGTACATGTAGCACCTTGTGGGCCGCACATGGTGGCACGTGTTGCATTGCAGTCACACACGCGTTGCGCTACCGTCACACACCCGTTGCGCTACAGTCACACACCCGTTGCGCTACCGTCACACACCCGTTGCACTACAGTCACACACCCGTTGCGCTACAGTTATGCACCCGTTGCGCTACAGTCACACACCCGTTGCGCTACGGTCACACACCCGTTGCGCTACCGTCACACACGCGCGTACTACCTGGCGGGCCGAGCAGGGTGGCGACTCACTGGAAGAGGTTGTCGCCTTTCGGGTTGTTGGTAGAATAGAGGGATTCCGGCACTTGGGGTTATGCGGCGCATGCACATATTGCGCTACAGTCACACACGGGTTGCGTTACAGTCACTCGCGCGCACCTGGCGGGCCGAGCAGGGTTACGACCCAGTGGAAGAGGTTGTCGCCTTTCGGCCCCGCCCAGCAGTCCGCGGAGAGTAGGGTTCCGCGCCCAGGCGTGATGCAAAACACACGCGCACCTTGCACGCACAGCTACCATGCACCTGGCGGGCCTTTGCACCTGGCGGGCCTTCGCACCTGGCGGGCCGAGCAGCGTGGCGACCCACTGGAAGAGGTTGTCGCCTTTCGGCCCCGCCCAGCAGTCCGCGGAGGGCTCCGCGCCGATGTCCGCGAGCTCCTTCTGAATGCGCTTCGCCGCCGAGCACACGGATGCCGACAGGTTCATGAAACGCGTACGCGCCTGTAGCTGCTTCGTTACTGGTCAGTATCCTTCTGAATGCGCTTCGCCGCCGAGCACACGGACGCCGACAGGTTCATGAAACGCGCGGTCCACTGTACTAGTACTCGCTTGTAGCTGCTTCGTTACTGGACAGATTTGTGAAATGTGGAATCTGCAAAATGCTTTTCTGTTTTGAAAATAAAAAGCTGTGTTCGAATGCGGCTAATCGCAGAGCATGAAAGTAAGGAACTCGATTGCGTCAAGACGGGCTGACAGTGCGCGCGTCGGCGGCTCCCTCTTCACGCAATAAGCGGCTGCTAGACACGACTTATAAGAGATTATTAGAAGCCGAGTTAGACCTAATAATCTTGGGGGATACTTGAGGAGATCCCGAGGCTGTCCTACGATAAGTTCGCGAAGAAACAAAAGTTGTGTTACCCTGTTTGCATTCGATCGCGGGACGGAATGGAGTCGTGCAATTTGGTAGAGGCTCGGGGCGGTTTGCGATGCTTCCGTGATTCGCCCGCGTTCGCATGGTCTGATTCAGTCCAATTACAACTCTCTCGACCCACGGAAAATGGTTCGACAGACTGCCAAGCAGCCACCACTCACCCCAAGCCATTCCAATGTGTACGGTTCGATTTCAAATCAATCCAGACGAGAAACTCCATCATTGTCGGGTCAGTTTCATATGGCTTATCCCAACTGACATCACGAAATGAAATCCTTCGCGGGAAGAGACGCACTTGAGGCCCTCTTGAGAGTTGGGATTGGTTGGGTTGGGACTGAGGGCGGATCGGGCGAAAATACAATTGTGGTTCATGTATAAATCTTCAGCGTGGTAAGGGCGCGTGTCTTTTGAAATTATTGCAAAGTTCATATTTTTAGTCGATTTTTTATGTCTGAACCTAGGTCGACCTGTACTCGAGTACTCAACTTTTGGGTCCCGAATCGCGATTTTTTTCTCCCGAAAATCACATGGCTCAACTAAGTTCGACTTTAGAAGTTGGACTTTATACAGTAAAACCCGAGTCGCGCCCCAATTTCGTGAGTTCCCGATTTGACGACGTAGCTCCTAAACGAATCCGGAATCAGTAACGAGGTACGTTGTCGTCCGTTACCATCGCAAACAACACAGATTCACTGTGCATGAGAAGAAGAACACACGTTTGGCTAAATGGGCACGTGAAAAATCGACCCCAGTTCATTGTCCTTCAGTTTCATCAATCTGTGAACTTGGACACGCAGTTATCGTAAACAGCCGTAAATGAAATTGACGAGACGGGTTACCAGAAAAAGGTCGACCTCTTTTTTGAATCTCTACACCAAAAGATACGCGCCCTAAAAAACAGCTCAAGTTGGTGAAGCTGAAGTACCGCTCTAGAAGAGCACAGCATCGTTCTCAACCGCTATATCTGAACAGAAAGGTCACCCGCCCTGACGATTCGCGACGCAACTCGAGCCCGCGAAAACTACAAATCACGTCAGCGCGAAATCCTCGTCTTGACTGGCGTGCACGTTCGGCTTGACTCTTGTCTAATTTCACAACTCAATCTGCTCCCTCACTTCGCTGCTTCCTCCTAATCCAAGCAAGCGGCAGTCTTGTCTCTGCCTGCTCAGTGCTCACCATTTCTAATCTCGCCCATTCCGTTGCATTTCACCCTCATTCTTCGCCTTCGGCTTCTGAAATAACACCTGCTTCCCTCCCACACCCGCTTCGCAGCGCCACCGCTGAACCTTGAATAATGGTAATGCTCTTTCTCATACTACCAAATGCGGCTGAGAATGCTGCATTCCTATGATAGAAATAAATTATTTGCGACGTGTGACTTGCGAAGCAAATTCCACGGCGAAATCACGAGAGCCGTTTGGCCGTGCCGCATGATTACGCCGCCAGATGCTCTGCCTCGGTCTCTGCATATTAAGCGCTTAAAAACTCGCCGCATAATACGGCCTCTCTCATGGCGCATACAGACAGCTTTATCGTCGCAGCGTGTGTGTGGGTATTTTTTTCTTCCTTCGTAGATTCAAACAACTGTGTTAAATAAAAGCTTTGGAGGAACTGGTGGCTACCTGGGTCGCTGGTCCTGCCGCATTACGACGGCTCTCTCTTCAACGTCCTTTCCAGACGTTGGTCGTCCTTTTCTTCGACGTGTCAAAGCCTTTTTTCAAAATATGGTGCTGGTCCCGCGTCGCCAGTGCGCGCGCATTGCGCCTTCCGTGGAGTTCGCCAGGTCCGCCGCGATGTCGCGCCGCGACTCGGAAGTGCCTCAACGCATTAGTCAGATCTGAGGCGTGTCGGCATCGCGCGACGCGCTTTTATCCTTTGAGGCGCCTCACACGTCATCATCGCCTCACACGTCATCATTGCCTGACACGTCATCATCGCCTCACACGTCATCATCGCCTCACACGTCATCATCGCCTCACACGTCATCATAGCCTCACACGTCATCATCGCCTCACACGTCATCATCGCCTCACGTCATCATCGCCTCACACGTCATCATCGCCTCACACGTCATCATCGCCTCGCACGTCATCATCGCCTCACACGTCATCATCGCCTCACACGTCATCATCGCCTCACACGTCATCATCGCCTCACACGTCATCATCGCCTCACACGTCATCATCGCCTCGCACGTCATCATCGCCTCACACGTCATCATCGCCTCACACGTCATCATCGCCTCACACGTCATCATCACCTTGTTGGAGGTTGGGCTATAGACGACACACCTGACACATCATCATCGCCTTACACGTCATCATCGCCTCACACGTCATCATCGCCTCACACGTCATCATCGCCTCACACGTCATCATCGCCTCACACGTCATCATCGCCTCACACGTCATCATCGCCTCACACGTCATCATCGCCTCACACGTCATCATCACCTTGTTGGAGGTTGGGTTTTAGACGACACACCTGACACATCATCATCGCCTCACACGTCATCATCACCTTGTTGGAGGTTGGGCTTTAGACGACACACCTGACACATCATCATCGCCTCACACGTCATCATCGCCTCACACGTCATCATCGCCTCACACGTCATCATTGCCTCACACGTCATCATCGCCTCACACGTCATCATCGCCTCACACGTCATCATCGCCTCACACGTCATCATCGCATCACACACCACCACGGCCTTGCGTGGCGCCCTCGTCCTATCGCCTTGTTGGCCGCGATTCCATTCTCTGATTTCTCGCGATCGGGCGTTTCATGAAAGAGCCGCAATGCGGCGTTTCGTGGTGCTGGTTAGGTCGCGAGATACTACGATTGCACGATCTACATATCCCCTCTGTCACACATGCTCCCCCCTCCTCCCCCCTTCTCCCCCGTGGCTTCCCCTTCCCACCTTTCCTCTGTCACACATCCTCCCCTCTCCCCATTGGCAGGTAGCCCTTTCTGAGTCAAATGATCACAAATGTTTCCCTCTTCCCATTGGCAGGTAGCCCTTTCTGACTTCGCCAATTACCTGACACGTGGCGTGCAGCGACGGGTGGAGATGATGGTGGCGTACAAGGTGGAGGCCAAGCTGGATAGATACATCCCCGACGGATTCGTAAGCCTCTCAACCGTTCACAACTCCCCCATTGTCCACTCGCTGGCTGCCCGCACCACTCTCACATCACATCACACGACGGGGAGTGGGAAGGGGTAACAGCAGAGCGCGCAATCGAGGCGACGCTTGAACCTTACAAGCTTAGAAAACCCCGGCAGCAACGGTAATCTGAAACGCATGAAACACGTTGCTGAAACATGGCAACAGTACGCTGAAACACATGAGCCGTCTTCCACTCGTGCCATTCCCGGTCTGACGCTCACAGCTCTCTGGAACCCGACCTCCGGGCGATTTTTTAGGCGCCTCAAAAATCGCCTTTTGAGGCGACTCAAAAAACGCTCACAGCTCTCTGGAAACATGAGCTCCAGGCTTTGGGGCCTTGAGCCAAAGTCTCAAGCCGAGTTGACTTGTGAGAAGCTGAGGTGACTTAAAGAGTCGTCCTAAAGAGGCCATGCACAATCCAGGATTCCACATACTCATCCCTCGAGGATTCGACTTATGAGACGTCCCAAAACGAGTCGTGTCAAAAACCAATCCAGGATTCTAGGTTCGCGAGCCTCTCAACTGTTCCACTGCAGACCAACTGCGTCCTGTGTCAACCTTCAGCCGTGTCAGTCAATTTATTTACAATTTGGAAAAAACTGAAGCAAATATCTATTCCCATCCTCATCCCCATCCCAACTCCCATTCTCACTCCCATCCCCACTCTCATCCCCATGGCCCTTCCATTCCCCCTTCGACAGCACCATGAGTCTCAAGGCACCTCCAGGCTTAATCCTGTCTCTTCACTCCGAATTCTATCCGTGCCCCCCCATCCCCTGGCCCTTCCCTCTCTTCGTCCCCCCCTCCCTTCCGATGACCCATTCCCGACCTCAACTCAATCCCGTTTCTGTCCATATCCCTGCTCTTGACCATCCCCGCCCGCATGCACGCCTCTCTCCTTCCCCTCTCCCCCCTCCCCCCCTTCTCTCTCCCCAGTCATACACGGACGCCATCAAGATGCGGATCGCCCTCTACATTGCCAAGAGGCTCGTCTCATTCCCAATCCCATTCCCATTCTCATTCCAATGTGTGTCCCTCTCCCTTTCCCCGCCCCTCTTCATCTGTCCTTGTCCCTCCCCACTCCCCCAACCCCCCAGTCATACACAGACGCCATCAAGATGCAGATTGCTGTCTGCATCGCCAATGGGCTAGTCGCCCCGTACGTCCCCCTGTGTTCCCAATGCCATTCTCATTCCCCTTCCCCTACCCGTTCCCCCCATTCCGATTCTCCTCCTCGCCCATCCCCCTCCTCCCCTCCTCTCCAGTCATACACGGACGCCATAAAGATGCAGATCGCTCTCTACATCGCCAAGGGGCTAATCGCCCCTACTTCCTCCTGTGCTCCCAATGCCATTCCCCTTCCCCTTGCCACTCCTTTCCCTTGCCCCCTTTCCTAACCCCCCTTCACCCCCCCAGTCATACACGGACGCCGTAAAGATGCAGATCGCGATCTACATCGCCAAGGGCCTTGTCGCGCCCTACTTCCCCCCAGAGGATGCTGAGCAGGAGGCTCGGGAGGCAGCGGAGGAGGCTCGGAAGGCAGAAGAGGAGGCTCGGAAGAGGCTTGAGGAGGAGAAGCGGAGGCAGCAAGAGGAGGGGCAGGAGAGCAGCGGGTTCTGGAGCCTCTTCTCATGGGACGATGGGGAGGAGGAGGAGGAGGAGCAGAAGAAGGAGGAGAAGAAGGAGGCTGAGTCTTACCTCATGAGCTTCTTCCATAAAGAAGTGGTGCATTACTGCTCGGTTGGGTTGGGCTGGCCTGGGTTGGGCTGGGCTGAGAGGGCTGCGTGTGTGACTGGGCTGGTTGGGCTGCATGGATGATGGAGGAGATGGAGTCCTGCCTGCCTCATTCATTCGTCATCCCGTTGTTAACTTTGTCATCCCGTTGTGGTCTTCATCAGCGCATTGTAATCCACGTCACCTTGCTGGAATCCTCACCACCTTGCTGCAACCCTCATCACCTTGCTGCGATCCTCATCATCTCATTACGATCCTCTCACGGCATGTGCCAGGAGCATGACAATTCAGAGGCTGCAAAGGCAGAGGCAGAGAAGATGGTGTTGTGATGCCGTGTTGTTTGCTGGTCTGGTGACGAAAAGGCACCATTCATGATCTCGCTGCAATCTGCACTATCCTGTTGCAACCTGGTGTTTCGGCCAGTCATTATGTTGTCGCTAACGTCCTTATCTTGCTGCAATTTTCATTATCCCGATCCATCCTTCTCACATGCCAGGACGAGCAGTCAGGGGCGGCAAAGGCAGATTAGACCGTGATGTCGTGTCATGCTCTGCTTTGGTGTTGCGTCTCTTTATCTTGCTGCAATCTTCACCATCCCGTTGCATCCTTCTCACGTGCCAGGAGGAGAAGTCAGAGGCGGCGCAGGCAGGGGCAGAGAGGATTGTGGTGGCACGATACGCACAGAAGAAAGCCGAAGCAGAGGATTCTGCGAAGGAGGAAGAAGAGGAGCAGGGCGTGCTTGCCACTATCAGCAACTTCTTCAGCTCCAGCTAGGAAGCTGACCCTTGGATAGATGACTGGCAGTAAGAAGAGGAAGAGGAGCAAGGAGGAGCGAGGAGGAAGAGGAGCAGGGAGTGCTAGCCACAATCAGCAACTTCTTCAGCTCCAGATAGTGTCAAACTATATGTTTGTGTTCTCTCTAGACTATAGTGGGTTAGCCTACAAGGGGTACAACACTTTAGGGTTAGTACTTGTACCCAATTCATTCCTGCAAAGTTATTCTGACATGGTATCAAAGCAGGAAACCTATTAAGTTTTTAGGGCCCACCGATAGTGTCGCTCATTCCTGCACGAAGCGCCCTTGCGCTGTCCGGCCCTGCTCGCACAGTGTCACGCTGTCCTGCAACTACTCGCACTGCCTGCCCCCCCCGCACGTCGCGCCCTGCGCGTCGCGCTCTGCTGCTCCGCACCTCACGCCCTGCTGCAGCCTGCACGTCGCGCCCTGCTGCCCTGCGCGTCGCGCCCTGCTGCAGCCAGCGCGTCGCGCCCTACTGCAGCCAGCGCGTCGCGCTCTGCTGCCCTGCGCGTCGCGCCCTATTGCAGCCCGCGCGTCGCGCTCTGCTGCCCTGCGTGTCGCGCCCTGCTGCAGCCAGCGCGTCGCGCCCTACTGCAGCCAGCGCGTCGCGCTCTGCTGGCCCTCGCGTCGTGCCCTGCTGCAGCCAGCGCGGCGCGCCTTACTGCAGCCAGCGCGTCGCGCTCTGCTGCCCCACACATCACGGCCCTGCTGCCCTGCACAGCGCGCGCCCTGCTGCCCTGTCCACCGCGCGCCCTGTCCTGCAGCCCGCGGCGCGCCCTGACCCGGCTGAGCCGCGCCGCCCAGCCCGAGCCGTCCTGCCCAACCCGAGCCGCGCCGCCCTACCTTGATCACCAGCCCCACCGAGCCGCCCTGCTGCCACTACTGCTGCTGCTAGTGGAGGTGCTGCTGGGAGTGCTGGGAGTGCTGCTGGTGCTGGGGGTGCTGGAGGTGCGATTGGGAGTGCTAGAGGTGCTGCAGGTGCCGAACGTGTGACTGAGAGTGCTGGAGGTGCTGCTGGTGCCGGAGGTGCTGGACCTACTACTGACCGTCACTGCTTGTCATGGCCACTATCACGGCAGTTGCAGCGGCTAGGGGTGGACAGCGGCGGTCACTGCCTCTCCCGGATGACCCCACCCCTCAGCAGCTTCGCGAGTGGGTTCTTCAGCGAGCCCGTCCAGGTGGTGGAGGCTTTGGTTTTCTACGTACTGCACAGAGGTGGCAGCAGAGTCAGCAGGAGACCTTCTCCCCTCAGGTGCTTAGTGAGTTGTGTCCTCAGCGATGTGTCATTGATTCTGTCGAGGCTGTTGCACTAGGTGCTAGTGAGTCTGCTGCCCCACTAGGTGCTAATGAGTCCGCTGCAGCACTAGGTGCTAGTGAGTCTGCTGCAGCTTTAGGTGCTCGTGCGTCTCCCGCCACAGGTCCTTCCTCAGCTGAGGCCTTGCACACTTTCACACTTGACTCAGGCGCGTCACGTTGCTTCTTTCGTGACTGCACCACACTCACACCACTTGCTGCACCGGTACTGGTCTCAATGGCTGACCCCAGTGGGGGCCCAGTAGTCGCACGAGCCTCCACTGTCCTCCCGTGTCCAGCAGTCCCCTCCGGTTCTCTGTCAGGTCTCCACCTCCCCATTTTCTCGACGAACTTGGTGAGCAACACTGCCATTCAGGATGTTTGGGTTGATACCTTTATTCCTGGAGGGCAGCGTGTGGCGATCTGTACGTGCTCCTGGACTGGCCATCACCTGGCTACGTTCACTCGACGGCATGGGTCTACTCCGTACACACTGACCACTGCGTCTGCACAGGTGGCTGAGGCAGGTCAGGTGGCTGCGTCGAGTCAGGTGTCTGCGTCTGGTCAGCTTGCAGCGTCTTGCTCATGTCGGGTACTCTCCCACCAGACTCTCCTCTGGCACCACCGCCTCGGTCACCCCTCCCTATTGCGTCTCCGCGGTATGCACTCCCGTCTCCTTGTCTCTGGCCTTCCCAGGTCCCTGCCCTCCCTCCTACGCTCGCCTGCCCCGCCGTGCCTTCCCTGCGTCGAGGGGCGGCAGCGCGCCGCTCCTCACTCCTCCGAGTTTCCTCCGATCACTGCTCCTCTGTAGACTCTCCACATGGACGTTTGGGGCCCAGCCCCCGTCGGTGGAACGGACCAGGAGCGCTACTTTCTGCTGGTTGTTGTCGACTACACACGTTACACCACTGTCTTCCCCTTGCGGCGCAAGGCGGACGTCAGCGGTGTTTTGATCCCCTGGATTCGTGCTACTCGTCGCCAGCTGCGCGAGCGGTTCAGTCGAGACTTCCCAGTCTTGAGTCTGCACTCTGATAGGGGCGGTGAGTTCTCTTCTGACCTCCTTGCGGAGTTCTGTCGAGACAAGGGTATCGTCCAGTCGTTCACGGTTCCGGCCTCTCCTCAGCAAAGTGGGATTGCTGAGCGTCGCATTGGCTTGATCATGGAGGTTGCTTGTACCTCCATGATCCATGCGGCTGCTCCCCATTTTTTGTGGTCGTTTGCGGTCTGATACGCTGCGCATCAGCTCAACCTCTGGCCCCGTGTCTCTGAGCCAGAGACCTTGCCCACACTCTGGTGGACAAGGAAGGTTGGCGATGCGTCAATGTTTCGGGTCTGGGGCGCGCTCTTCCTTGTTCGCGATGCCAAATCAAGCAAGCTCTCCTCTCGCACTCTCCGCTGCGTCTTCCTTGGCTTCCCCACCGACGCCCCGACGTGGCAGCTCTACCACTCGCGCTCGCGTCGAGTCTTCTCCTTACAGGACGTCACCTTTGACGAGTCTGTCTGTTACTAGAGGCTACACCCGCACGCGTCCCACCAGGTCCCCCTAGCACCTCTTTTATTTGTACCAGTCCCCCCCCCGGTAGACCTCCTCCCCCCACAGGGTCCTGCTCCCTCAGGTGTGTCTCAGGTAGACCCACCCCCCTTGGTTGAGCATTTGGAGGTCTCTTCAGACTCCTCTGGCCCAGCTGAGGGGGGTGACCCCACCGCTGACGACACGGCAGCCACTCGCCGCTCTCCACGCTTGGAGACCCCCCCTGGTTTTCTGCCTCCGCAGCCTGCTGTTGTGGACTCTGGAGCTGAGACTGCTGGTGCTGAGCCTGGGGGTGCTGAGACAGAGGGTGAGGGTTCTGGGGGTGCTAGGACTGGGGGTGCTGCGACTGGGGGTGCTGTTTCTGGGGGTGCGGCGACAGGAGGTGCTGGTTCTTGGGGTGCTGCGACTGGGGGTGCTGACTCTAGGGATCTTGCGAGTCCTAGTGGCGGTGGAGCTGTGGGTGACCCTGTTGGAGGTCTTGGAGATGGACAGCCACCGCAGCCTGACCTACGTGAGACGCTCTTGCCGCAGGCGATTCGTGCGTGGATCGTTTGGCGAGGCAGTGCTGGTGGTAGAGGGTACGGTCCTGCTGGTGCTGGAGCTGCTAGTCCTGGAGGTGCTGCTGGTGCTGGAGGTACTAGAGGTGCTGCTGGTGCTGGAGGTGCCAGAGCTACTAGTCCTAGAGGTGCTACTGGTGCTGGAGGTGCTGGACCTACTAGTCCTGGAGGTACAGCTGGTGCTAGAGGTGCTGGAGGTGCTGCTGGTGCTAGAGGCTCTGGAGCTGGAGGTACTTGAGGTGCTGGAGCTGCTGATCCTGGAGGTTCCCATACTGGAGGTGCTGGAGCTGCCTAAGCTGGTGGTGTTGTTCGTGCTGGAGGTGCTACTGGAGCTGCTGGTAGTGGAGGTACTGGAGGTACTGCTGGTGCTGGAGGTGCTGGAGCTGCCGGAGCAGGTGTTGCTGCTGGCACTGGAGGTACTGCTGGTGCTGGAGGCGCTGGAGCTGGAGGTACTAGAGGTACTGGAGGTGCTGGTACTGCTACTCGAGCTATCGGCACTAAAGGTGCTGGAGGTACTACTGGTGCTAGAGCTCCTAGCGCTGCCGGAGCTAGTGGTGCTGCTGGTGCTGGAGGTGCTAGAGGTGATGCGGGAGCTACAGGTGCTAGAGGTGCTGGTGCTGCTGGTGCTGGAGGAGCTGGAGCTACTGGTACTGCCCTGCGCAGACTGCTTTTCTACCCGCAGCCGCAGTCGTCCCTGCCGCCGCCTGACTCGGTCCTTCGCTAGGTTCTTTGTCTCCCGTCTTCCACTGGCCTCCCTCTACCCCTCTTGTGTCCACCGACAGACCAGTCTCAGCCACAGCTATTGCCTGGCTCCCTGCTGCCTGCGCCTGCTCCTCACACTGAGGTGACTGCATCCGTGACTGAGCATCGTGAGCCTGAGACTCGTGCTTCCACACCTGTTCGTGCTTGTTGTGTCGCCCGTCCTCGTCCTCCTGCTGTCCCAGGCACTCACGGTATGGCACTTCGTCCTTCCTCTGTTCCACAGCGTGTTGTCCTGCCTGAGCCTCCCGCGTCCTCTCTTCCGCACGTTCCTGACCTTGAGTCCGAACTTGCTCGTGCTTCCAGTCCTACTGTCACTCATCTCCTCGCTACTGTCGTTACTGCAGCGTTTTCCCTAGTCACTGAGCTAGTCGACTTTGCAACTAGGAGTCGTCTCGACTACGTCGCGAGTCTTGTCACTGAGTCTGAGTCTGTGTGTCCTACGTTCGTCGAGGGTGAGCCTGCCCTTAGCAGTGACGTACTTGAGGATAGACAATTTGAGCTTGAGTGTCTTGCGGCCACTTTACCTCGTTTCGCATCCATGCTGCTTTGCCCTGAGGGAGACCCGGATGCACTTGACATCCCTACCCCGCGCCCTTACGCTGAGGCGATCACGAGTGAGTACTCCTCTCAGTGGCAGACAGCCATGGACGCAGAGATGGCTTCCTGGAAGTCCACAGGCACCTACGTCGACGAGGTTCCTCCTCCTGGGGCGAACATAGTCGATGGCATGTGGATTTTCAGAGTGAAGCGGCTGCCGGGTTCTCCGCCTGCCTTCAAGGCGCGTTACGTTGCTCGAGGCTTCAGTCAGCGACAGGCGGTTGACTTCTTCCAGACC